CACACAAAGGGCGTGGCCCTGGGAGACCCAAGGAACAGGTGCCTCCAAGTGGCGGCAGGGTAGTTCAGGTGAGAAGGAACTGGGAGGTGTGGGGGCTGGGAGAGGCTCCCTGCAGTGTTGGCAGGCAGTTTTCGGACTCCCTCTCCTTCCTTCTCTTTCACTTCCATCACATGTTAAGACCTGCTACTTCCTAGTGCCCACCTCCCTGTCTGCCTCTCAGAGTCCTCCTGCCAGGGCTGCCTGGGAACCTGGCCACTCTAGACCCTGAAATAGCTGAGTCAGCGTTAGTGTGAAATGGGAACTATTCGCCCCTCTGGCTTCTTGTCATCTTTCCTGCGATGCAGAGCCAACCCCTCAATGACAGGCCAAGAAAGGGCTGGGGTTTGCCCCCAGGTGATGTCTTGCAAGAAACTGTCTTCCTCCCAGTAGATCCAGGTCACTGCCAGGTTGGGTTCTAGGGGGATCTTCTGTATTTACCCAGATCAAGCCTGCGAGGTGAAGCCAAAGACAGAACCCTGCTGCCTCTGCCCCCCACACCGTCAAACTTGCTGATGGTGTTCCTCCCACGATTGTTTTGATATCACCCAGCTGACTTCATGCAATTTTTTTTTTTAACCTTTTGGCTACACTGTAGGAAGAAAGCACCCTTTTAGGGGACATTTGGTCAAAGAGATCTACTTCTCTTCCTTCGTCATAACCCTTGTGCTCTTTGGGACAAGTCACCCAGGGCATGTGGATCCCAACTTTACTGACAAAATGTGGGTCAGCCACATCATTGCCATTCCTAGGACCCAAAAGCCCTTGGAAGGGTCTCATTTATGCCCCTGATGGCTGCCCCATGGCCAAAAGAGACAGAAGGTGGCCCTGGCAGAAGGGATTCTGATGGGTGGACAGGAAATTGGAGCTGAGGAGTGATAGGTCTGAACATCCAACAGTGGAAGGAGAGGGCAGGTCTGGAGACTGAAAACTACTGAGATAAACTGCTCTCTGGCAAGGGGAGCCCACACCAGCACCGCTGTCCCCTCAGGGCTATATGCAGCTCCTGTCTCTGGGGGACACCTGATTCCCAGGGGCTTCTGGGTGCCCACCACCATATCACTGGAGAGCATCACAGTCAAAATCACCCCTACTCAAACCCGGCCACCTTCCCAGGACCCACTTTGTGCCTCTGACTATCCCCAGTTGAAGTTCATGCCCGACCCGAGAGAACAGAGGAAGTCATTGTTGCTCCCGCTGCCTGGAGACCTCTCAGCCTCATGGCATCCTCATGATTTCCTGCCTACACCTCACATGCAGAAAAGCCTAGATTGGGATAGGTCTATCCTTGGGTCCCTGCTGGGTCCAAGTGGATGGACACAAGGACCTGGCTGCTTGCTCTTTGGTTGGCTTTTTCCTGCTTTGGCTCACAGGTTCCC